AAAAATCCAGTGGATTTTTTCTGTAGACCTCAGACCCACTTCTATTTCCATAGTAAGAAATCAAGTCTCTCTGCATCATTTTTAGTAACTGACATGAAAATTCAGACCAAGAACTGAGATTCAAACCTTTGCCAACTGAGTTGGTAAGGAGTCACACAGATCTAATCTCAGTGTTGGAAATGCTTTCAGGTACAGCTCCTCTGTTCTGCATATCATTCTGTTCTCTGTCAGAGCACACCATTATCTTCCAGACTGGGACTCCCACGCTAGCTAGGTCCTTTCCCTCCTCTTCTCTTTAGACTCTCTGTCCCCACTCCCTTATTTTTTGCCTGATTTTCCAGTAGAACAAATGCACTTCACAATTCAGCTTTTATTTTACTGTTGCTCTTGTTCTTCTGTTGTCATGTCCCCCTGTATCTACAATCCTTTTCTCTAGGCTGTGTTGGTGGATCATGATCATATCTCCTGATACTTATATCACCTTCTCTTCAAACTTTTGCCTGAAGTTTTGCATTTTTTTCCCAGCTGCGTCGTTAGTACTTAACAGTGCTCTTCTGTGAAGCATATAATTTATCGTATAGAAATAGCCTCAATCAGATAGCCACTCAAAAATAATAAGCTTCCAGCAGCTTTTACATCCAGTTATCTTCATTTTCCTCCCCTCTTCAGTTTTTTTTTTTTCCCCGTTGCTGCATTAACAGACAAACTGTGTTTTCTCTTTGCCTTAAATTCACAGCTCAGAGGAGGGGAAAAAAAAAAACCCAACCTCCTCACAGATCTTAAAGATTTCTATCCTGATTGCTAGCCTGCACCACTTTTTCTCTCGAGTTTTTGTTTAGGTCAGTCCTGCCATCTAATTGTTATTTGGCAGCTAACTGTCCATCAGCCCAGATCAGAGGCAGGGAGTATATATACACTATCTGATGCAAAATATCTGAACAAACAACCCCTCTTCTTCCAAAAGGACAAAACAGCCAAGTAATAAAGAAAAAAAATTCTCTTACTGGCAAAAAATAAGGTTTACCTTTTTTTTTTTTTCATTCAGCACTAGTTTCCTACAAAGTTTACTGTGTACCTCTGCCTGTCTTCTGGCCTTCACTGAACATAAGTCGTCCTGCCAATTTTTACCAGGCCACTCATGGCTTCTAGATCTTATGTGTTAACAATTAAAAAAACTCATTCTTATGAAGGACAATTCCTTTAAGTTAAAGAATTATGGGTTCATCGTATGTCAATCAGTAAAATCCATAGCAAATCCTTTCAGCCTTTATGAATACACTCTCACTCTGCAGATGTCCATCTCTTCTAATATCTGGAAGACGAGATGGAACTTATTAACGATCTCCACAATTACCTTCCTGCACTTTGAGCTCTGCATTAATGTAAGGATTAAACTTCAAAAAGTACCATCATGCAGTTCATTCACACAGTTAAAGTGTGTCTGGAGATTGTCATCAAATAGATGCATAGAACCACCACTTAAGTTAGTCTTTGAAAACATTTCCACAGCATAGTGACGAATAACCTATCCTCATAATGACAAGATAATCCTGCATCCCACTGTTTTGTACTTCATTTGACGTGATGTGGACAAATAAACCGGAAAAGTAACATATGGAGAGAGACTAAAACTTCAATATCATATCCCTGTGCTATATCAGCAAGAGCTAAACAAAACACATCAATAACAGCCAACAGTTGTAGCCTGGGCCATCTGGTCACAAAGGCCCGTATTACCAAGACTGTATTAAAATATTTTAATCTTACTGTTTTCCCCTCAGGAATGAAGGATAACATGCAAAAGCTTAAATTCTGCTAAAAGGTGAGATTCCGTTACCTACAAGCACAGCACGTCTATGATGGGTATTTAATTAAGAGATACCCTAAATGAAGGGTGTGCAAACGGTAAGGCAATAGTCTCATTCCTAAATGGGTATGGCCGGAAAGCCAGTAACAGCACAGAGAACAGTCTCTACACGTGTATTCCCTTGTTAAGCTAAATACTATTTTGAATTTTTGTAATTAACTAAAACAAACCAATTTTTTCACTTGTCCAGTGCAATATCTCCTCCCTGATTTATATTACCAAACTGTAATGAATCAAGTCCTCTAAAATCCCTGTGTTTTTTTTTTTTGTTGTTGTTGTTAATGCTTTTGTTTCCTAATTGTGAAATTCCTAATTGTGAACCTGGAATTATTTTTCACACAGGAAAATGTGTGGTTATTCTCTGCCCCACCGCCCCAAATTCCTTGTTCCTAAATGTTATTGCTATGTTTATTACTATGTCTGAATAAAACATAAACTGCCCCACTGTGCAATCTCACAGAGATTTGACTGGAAGTGCCCATTAGAGGAGCTCCGAAAGACACTATTCATGGTGTTGGGTGGACAGGGCGAGTCCTTGTGAGCCCCTGCACTACGAGACAAACTGCTGTTCCCACCACAGCAAACCTACAGCAGTCCTCAGCCCTGACTGCTTGCAGTTACATGACAGAAGTTTGATCCAGAAGCTGCTTGCCTTTCTTCTTCCTTCTTATTTTTTAAATTCCATTATAACATGCAAATTATCCATTCTCTCTGTTTTCTCTTTTGCCCAAAACACTACAGAAACCACCACTACAAAATACATCTGCAATGTCCCTTCACAGCAATTACAACAGACCAGAGACGGCAAAGTTGAAGTTCAAGAGAAATTCATACATATCAGAAGCTGTAATTCCTCAGCGCGTGTACTGCCCTGCCGAAGCTTTTGCAGATAAGCCCCAAAATAATGAGGAAGAGGAAATAAATGCGTTTCTCATGCCTCACAGAAGTGGGCACCTAAATGAATTTTTGCAAATTCGTGAAGCTACGTATAGCTCACAATAAACATCTAAAGTTAAATGAGACAAATGAACTTTTTCTGCGGTTTGTGCAGGATCTGAAACAAGTACATGAATTGGGTGTCTAAGGCTCTCTAGAATAGTGCAGACTTTTATTTCTGAAGAGTTCACGGCATGTCTTATGAAGATCTATGACATGTCAAAAAGACCTAAAATCACTGCTTTTATTTTCAGCATTGACTCCTACTGAATTTTTTAGTTAGGGAACAACAGACTCTGTTCCCTACCATCAGTATGTCTGAGGCTCCAAACCCTTTTCTTTATGCTTTGTTAAGCATTCAGTTGCAAATTACTGCAGTTGACTGAGAATATTTATCCCATTATTTTAGATATCTCCAAATTTTTGTGTCTCACTTGACACATATACACTGTATGTGTATTGCAAGTCTACTTGCAAGAGACTGTAGCCAAAATACTCATGTCTAGATTCTAAAATTAGAAAGATAATGAAAAAAAATTATATTTAAAGACTTGATGACAGCTCAAAGTATTTCAAGGTGCTGATCATTTGCAGTTCCTATAATTGAAACACTAGTTGAGGATAGGTATATCTTAGGGCCTTTGAAAAACAGACTGCCAGATGCTTTTACACTTCTGTGTTTGTACATCATCCAATGCACTTAACTTGTGATCCCTGACTAGCATTTCAGCAACGATAACAAATCAAGGTGACAAGATGTTAGGAAAACATTTAAGTACAAATAGGACCTGATTCATCTCATTCTGCTTAAGGAACCTCAGTTACCAGGACTAGCGCTCTAAACTCCCAATAAAAATACTTAAATGAAGGCACTTCTACAGAGCAAATCAGGCCACCCCAGACCTAAATATTCAGCTTTCATGAGCAGCAGGGATGGAAGGGGAAAGGGGAAGATAAATCAATAACAAAAAAAAGGAAGTCTCTAGATCTGTCTATAAGTAACCTTTTTAATTCTCTCACTGCCTTAAAATTGTACTACAGAAATCTTAAAAATTAACTATTTATCACTAACATATTAACCAACAATATTTACCTCAGTTATTGATCTCAAACACTGAAATGCAAAGGCAAAAGTTCAGAAATGCCTTTAGAAAGTTTAGGACACATTAAAAAAAATACTCCAGAAAGATAGAAAAACATTTATAAAATCAGTATAAATTATTAATAGGGAAAGGGGAGAAAATTAAGTCTTCACAGATTATTCTTTTTACTGATAGGAAAACAACCTTTCCTAGTTATTAAAGTAACTGATTAAGTGCCAGCTGGCTAAATTACACATCGATCATGGAGTAAAATTCTGCCCTCCAGCTGTGCATTTAGCTGTAGTGGTCATATTGGTGGGAATTCGGAATAGACTCCACAGGTGTATAGGTCGTCAGGTCATTAACACACCTACTGCAATCAGAGCAATGCATAGGGGTCCCTGTTTCAAAACTGCCAACATGCAAAATATATTCATGTAATTACAAATTCTGATGCCTAAATGACCATTTGAACCATTGCTGGTATTTTAGTTTTAATCTTTTTGAATACGCAAGCTGTACATCTGAAGTTCTGGAAAAGTGGCTGTTAGAACTCTCGTTTATTCGATTGCCTGCAAATACGAGAAAAATTTTCTACTTCTTTGTCAGACCTTTGCAAACAGCATAAAATAAAACCGAAAACACCTGCAAAGACTTATTTAGTCTTTGGACATTAGAAAGTAAGGAATGAACAAAAGTTGTTTTTACATGTAATGACTTTACATGTAAATCCCTTCTAGGTCTTGAGAATAGAAACAAGATAATCCACGCTATGCAATAGGATATTCTTTGTAACATTCCTGGCCTAGATTTCAGCCCAGTCTAACACATAGATACACAGGCAGGCAGCTACCTCTACTGAAGATAGCAGCTGCATGAAAACATGTCTGATTAATGCTTTTTACCAGAATGTATGCTGTAAAAGTCTGCCATGAATCCAAAGACATTTTTATCTGTCTACACATTATAGGCAGAAAGAACAAACTTCTCCGTTCAGTTTTATGCTTCTTAATTTTGACTGGGATATTACTACCAACATGACAGGCATTAATTTTTTTTAAGATCAATAGAGATCAGTTAATATCAAAATTTGATCTTGTTCTTTGTTGACTTACCTTGCCAACAGATCGGGGGAACGGTGGTCTTTGATTTTCAGGAATTAATATTGGCGTTGCCAAAATAGCCCTTTTTTGTCTTGGAATCCCAAGGTTGCCTTCTATCTTAAAGATTTCCTAAAAAAGAAAAAAGACCAATTACAAAGACTTTCAAAATAATATTCAGTTGTTATTTCTATTCCCTCCACCTTTAGGCAAAATTCACGTGCACTGCCAGATTCTAGGTTTTGTATTATATGTTTTCCAGCAATTAGAGATAATATATCAAACTAATTATTTAAATCTGTCTGGTTACTCCACTTATTACAGTGACAGTGGACAGGCCATATTAATTTTTTATTCCCGTAGACTAGTTTTAAACCTAAGCACAGTGTGCCTACCATCCTAACCTGATGACTGCTTAAATCATAAATCTTAAACAAGGTCTGGCTTACCTCAAATACTTGCATGAGACCTGTAAAATAAACATCTAGCATAACTTTGCCATCTCAAGTCACATCTACACTCTGTCACTTCTCAGTCCAGGCTTTTAATCAAACAGAAATTATAGGTGAGTTTGCTGGACCTGTCCCCAGCTAATGAATGCTCAATAAATACCAAAAGCTTGCAAGTAGAAATAAACAAGACACCAAAACACAGGTGTAACTTAGAATATCAGCTAGTCGTTTTTGTTGGGGTTTTTTTTTGTGCTGGATATTTTGGGTTTGGGTTTTTTTTTTTTTTCTTAGAGAAAAATACATGCTACTACATCAGAAAGAACAAAAGTATAAGTGGTTTATATACAAGTCTTCCTTTTCCTGCTGCATTTTCTAGAGTATTTAGTTCTAGCTAAGCTTCAGGCAATTCAGCACTTTATGAGCTACAGCAAACTCTTCACAGTGGCCTCTGCCCCCTGGAAAACTCTGTCCATCACACCTTTGCTTTCCCTCCCCTTCTGCTCTCTGATCCTTTCAGTGCTCTCTCTGCATGAGCTGCAGTTTCCCAGAGACCACCCGCTCCTTTTCCTTCCTCCTACAGTCTCTGCAACTCTCTTCTCCAAGCATACTCAATTATTACCAAGGTCCAAAACAGCCTCTCCCCATCTACCAAAGTTCTCCTCCTTTAAAAAACAAACAAACCATCACAAATTTATACTATGTTGGGAATTGTGAAACTGAAAAAGATTTAGACCATTAGTATTCATTCAGGTTGTCATGACAGTTTCATAGGTTGAATTAAACGTATAATTCCAATAAGGCAGTTACATCCTACAGATAACACTGCTCTGCTCTCTTAACGCAGAAACTCTAGAAGCCTCAGTTTCTCAGTCAGTTCTGGAATCCATGCTGTTGTTTTAATAGCTGCTACTTTATCACATAAGGAGAGGTTTTATTTTTATAACACTGCAAAGCTGAATGAGTTTTCCTGGTGGCATGATCTCGACATCCATCAGTAAAGACCTCCACAGGTTGCTCCTGCTGCCATCTGTAGTATAGGTGCCTCCCACCTAATGAATCTATCATCACCAAAACACTGCTCTACCTCTAGTAGCTTTAGCATCACTTTTCAAATTTGACAACAGACAGCAACGAGGGAAACTCAAGTCTTCAAAAGTCAGCTTTAGACATGATAAAGTCAAAGAGCAGTGGGAACCATGCAGAGAATCCCTTCTCACAATTTTGCCAATTTTCATAACTTTTTGAGGCTCACCCTGATAGAGAGTTCCCATCTCTCCCCAAGGCTTTGCCACTTCCCTCTAATCTTTCAGTCTGCAGGCCACTTGGGTCCCTATTTTTGTCTTTCAATTCCTCTCCCAAAAGAATTTTGCCTAATAAAAATTCATGAGAAAATTCAAGATAAAAACATTTGAAGTGTCAAATAAAAAAGAAAGAGCTGAATTCTGTCCAAAGGCAAATGCACAGAGCAGTAAGCTTTCAAAATCACTTATACTGTAAACACCGCAGACAGTTTGGCTGGCATGTGTCTCTAACATTTCTAAGGAGAGTTAAAGTGACTACCTCTATGTCTAAAAGGAAGTATTGGTTCTTTAGCCCAACAGCAGCAGCGCTCAACTGATCACAATTCTCACTCATGCTAACTCCTACTTTCATGGTTGCCCTTCAGCTCATGAAAATCTAAGGAAGAAATCCCAGATGAAGGCTCTTTGGAAACAAGCAAGACATTCATTCAGATTTACATCTCTTTGTATCATACAATGGTTTGAGTTGGAAGGGACCTTTAAAGATCATCTAGTCCAACCCCCTTGCCAATAAGCAAGGACAACTTCAACTAGATCAGGTTGTTCAGAACCATGTCCAACCTGACCTTGAATGTTTCATGTTTCTTTCTATGCTATTTTGAGGAGTAAGAGGAATTTTCAGGCTGCTCAATATCTAGATCTCACAATTTTGGTAGTCATAGACCCATAAGCAATTAATGCATCACTTTCTCATGACAGGTTATCCTTACACTTTCCCAGAAGGTCCACAAATAGACAAAGCCAAATTGTATTTAATGAGTCATCACTGAAGTCATTAATACAAAGAAACAAAGTTCTAAAGGAAAGCAGAAGAGTGGTAAGACTTAAGGCCTTCAAGCCCAGATTTCTGAGCAGGACTTTGGAACAAAAAAGGAAAAATACTAGTATTTGTTTGTTTTTAAACACAATCAGTCTGTTGCATGGACAAGAAAGCTTCAGCAGATTGGGCATGGGAATGTAGGCACCTCTCCGAGTATGTTTCACACTGTTTATTCTTCAAATCTCACTGCTGGTTTTTAAATACTGATTTCTTCATTATGATTTGTCTCTCTCTCATCATCCCCTGGTGTCTAACACTAACATGACTGATTAAACGAGTAGCCAAAAGCATCACGATGAAATGCAGGTAAACAGAAAGGAAGAAAAGGTCAAGTGTACTTCACCAAGACGTTTAATAATTCAGTGCCATTTGTGGTTATCATAATGACTTCCCCATTTGTAAAGAACACAGAAAAAGAAAGAACATTTTGCTTAATGCCAAGCAGCTGCAAGTAGTGGTTTGATCTTCAACCAGTATATAAGGTAGAAGCCAAAGAATTTGAAATTACATGTGCACTTAGCACCTAATTCAACAGTCAAAACACCGAAAAGACTCTCATTCACGGATGGATATATTGCATATATAATAATTTTTACTGAATTCAACTATTTAATTTCTTGAAGAAGTAACTCATAAGGGATATGAGATTAGTCTGGATAAAGTTGGTAATTTTGCTTCAAATTTTCTGTCAACATCAGGCTAGCATTATAACAAGAGTCTTCACTTGCCTCTTGACACAAGTGAAACCCACAAAGGAGTTTTCCATGATCTTTTCTGGAACCAGTTGATCAAAGACTATAGTACCTACCACGGCTTTGTAGCAGCTGTGACCCCAGACAAGTATTTATGTGCCAGCAGTCTGGAGCTGACAGTCTGGAGAGCCAAGAATGGCATGTCCCAGATGGGTGGTGTTCAACCAGCAGCCAGAGATAAAATTTCTATGATTACCATCTGCTTCTCCCATGCCTGCTGCTTTGTACAACAAACAGAAACGTAAGGAGTGTGTCCAGAAACATCCATCCACATGTAATTTTTTTAAAAAATTATAATAAATTTATGCTTTCCTAAGAAAAGTGCACCAAAAATAAAAATTCTGAGTTTCTGATTGATTTTTTTTTCTTTTTTTTAAACCAAAACAGTAGGAGATAAATCTTACCAGGTTCTGTATTTTTACTATTTAACTGCAATATCACATCTGTGATCACTATCTTTTAGCTGCTCTTCTCATGGACAGTGGATTATCTGATCAGAATCCAACTATCATTTCACTGTCCACCATTTCATAACCAGCTTTTACACCCTATTTTTTACTTCATTAAATTACCTCTCTAGACATGGAATTGATATAGCAATAATTCAGCACCCAATATGCTGATTTGCTGGCAACAAAGCTTGATTCTCTATTCACATTAAGCAAGCAACAAACACAGACTCTCATTTTCCCAGCATTTAGGTTATGCTTTCATTGAAAGATGCCGATCTGCCCAAAACTATGATGCTACGCAGGCTGCACTTTCCCTAGATCGCTTGAGAACTCTCCACTCTGCTTTGTTTTTCTTTCTTTTTACCAGGAGTTCTTGGGAGCATTGCAGTACTTGAATATTTGAATGAATGGCCTAGTCACTATCCAGTAGCAGGCACCATCACTCTTGGAAAAGAAAATTTCATTAGAACTTGTCATGGGAATAAGGTGGCTGAATACTGATATCGATTTGTCACAATAAAGGTTGGAAACATCACTCGAGTGGCAACTGTAATCCACCATGGTGACCAGAAAAGTGGTGGAGTTTCTTGCCATTTAGTTGTTTTTATATACTAATCTTGATGGTATAAAATGGGGTCAGTCCCAAAAAATAAACAAAATTAATTTGATGCTTGTTGCAAGCAAAATTCCTCTGAAATAGCAAATGGGATGTTGTATGCTGTGGTGTATCAGTCTTTCTACAAAAGAACCTCACTACCTAAGGCTGAAAAACTAAAACTGCATGTAGATCAACTTAAGAAGAAATAATTTTTATATAACTCTCAGCTGAAATTTTGCAATTGTGCTGTAATACTTAGTTGCTTTAACTATGCCATTTCTATCATTGGAATATTGCTATTATCAGTAGTATTAATAGTTAATGATTTCTAAAACATATGCCAAAACAGAAAAATATTTTCTCATGTTGTTAATAATACAATAATCCAAGAAATGTGCAGGAACTGGACTTGAAGTTAAAGAACAACTGTTTAAATAAATAATTAACTAAATGAATAAAGTTAAGAATTGTAAAGGTCAATGGCATACACAAAAACATCTGCTCAAAAATAGTCTGTCCTCAATGCCTGTAAATGTCATCCTAAAAATCACATTGTATACTTTATAAAAACAAATCCAGCTAAAATCTAGCACGCTAAAGGAAACCAGCTATGTCAGAGCACATAAGCTTCCAGGATTGTGAAGCATGGTCAGATATATCATATCTGGGTAATGGAAATTGGTGGTGGAACTTGATTTAATTACTCTGGATGTTTGTACCACTTTAACTGTTACATTAATAGAGAGGCAGATCCTTC